CTGAGTTCAAAAATCTTACCGTTTTAAGGATCAAATAGAGTTCACCAGGGTATCTATATTTGACAGGATTTATGAAAACAAAAGGCTTTGTTGAGAAAGTTTGAAGCATAACTCTGGGATGTGGATCATAGTTTTTACTGCACATTAACTGTTTTAATGGATATAATGGTTATTATTATAGCCTGTGGAATCAGTTAGACCAGGGTTCAAATGTTTTCACCACATGCTAGACTGTGGCCTTGGGAATGTTATTTATTGCCTAGAAGGCTCAAATCTTAATTAGGAATGGTAAGAACTACCTAGTAACTTAGTATAAATAGTGAATTCATTCATTTAATGTTTTCAAACAGTGCCAGACATTGTTGAATGAACTGGGGATAGAGGGGTGGGCAAGACCGACAGGTCTCCTTATTGTAGTCTCAGAACTCTCCCTGTAGTAGGTCTGTGTGTGTGTGAAGGTGCGTGAGGAATAAAAAATAATAAGCAAATAATGAACAGGATCATTTTATAAAGCAGAAAGAGCTATTCAGCAAAAATACCTGCCTTTTGTTAGATGAAACTATCAACTCTATGGTTTGGTCTCTCCTGTCAATTCTGTTAAATGCTGTCAGTCTGTTTTCCTTATCACCCTGGCCATGACTTCTTTCTTTTCTGCTTGGCCCTGTAGCCTCTTTCCAACCCAAAGCTCATTCTCTGCCTGGCTGTCTGCCTTCTGTGGCTCTTTGCCACTACCTACATTCTCTGTGATGCACAGGGGAGGACCATTCCCTGTGGACGGTAAAATTCTCTTTTTGGGAGAATTCATTCTTGATTGGGCTGTAGCACATCTTGTAAAACAGCATTAGACATTTGCCACTCACTGCTCGACAGCTCTGGGAGAAATGTTTAGAAAGCATACAGCATTTTTTTTTTACCAACCATGGTGCAACCTCCTCCCAAAGGGAAACCGATGTGTATTTCAAGAACATGTGATGGTCAGTTTATGTTCCTAGTATCTAACATGATGGGTGGTACACAGCAAAAGCTAACAGATAATGGCTAAGGTAACTTTTCTTTTTGAATTTTAATATTCAACTTTTTAGGGTACCCAATCTCCATATTTAGGAAAATAAATTACATAAAAAGTGGAGAGTTTTTATTGTGAAACTGTACCTCCACATTCCCAGTGGAACAGGATAAGGGATCACATGTGTATGTCTGGGAAAACGAGGGTCCTCTGTAGTTCTGGAGGGCGAGGATTAAAAGGAAGCCCTAGATAGCCCTAATGAATATCTCCTGGCTTCTCTCTGGGACTTGAGATCACTGAACTTTTGCCCATTTAGAGATCATCTTCCCAATCATGCCACAAACAGCCTAAGGCTAAGCTTGCCCTGGAGCCGTTGTAGGGGTTGGATGAAGATAAAAGATTAAAAACTGGGAAGGTAGGTCACAGAAGGAAGAGCCCATGTGGGCAGATTTTCATTCAGTTCCTAGTCTTTATTACAGCAGTTCTCTAGGGCTGCAACCTTAGAAAAGATTCCTATAACACAATGCAGGTACCCATCAGCAGCAGACTGGATAAAAAAATGTGGTACATATACACCATAGAATACTATGCAGCCATAAAAAAGAACAAGATCATGTTCTTTGCAGCAATATGAATGCAGCTGGAAGCCAATAAGTGAATTAATACAGAAACAGAAAAATCACTATGTTTTCACTTACAAAAAGGAGCTAAACCTTGGGTAAATGGGGGCATAAAGATGGGAACAATAAACACTAGGGACTCCAAACAGAGGGAGGCAGGGAGGGGGGCAAGGGCTGGAAAACTTTCTACTGGGGACTTTGTTCACAACCTGGGTGATGGAACCATTAGGAGCTCAAATCCCAGCATCATACAATATACCCTTGTAACAGGCTGATGGTGTAACCCCTGAATCTACAATAAGATTATTTTATTTAAAAAAATAAAGTCATTATAAAGATTTAAAAAAAGAAGGATTCCTAGACAGGTACGACCACACAAATTTTTAAAAATGTTGACAGCCCCCCCCCTCCAGTCACTTGATAGCCCATGTCCTAACATTCCCGACTTAATTCTCTCCAAAAAAGAAGCTCTACTTTTAGATGGCTCTGTGCTGGGTTCTCACTGTAAGTTTCTAGGGAAAGGAGCATGAGTTGTCCGGTCTAGCCTCTTCCTGGAGTGGGAACCAGGGCTCCTGATCAGACACAAGTACGGCAGGAGCTCCGTAGCCTGCCAGCGCAGCTCCCAGTGCGGTCCCATGCAGGTCCTGGGCGCCGCGCTCTCGCGCATCTGTGCTGGAGCCGTTAGGATGACCCTTCTCCTTCTGGTGCTTTAAGCGGTGAATGTGTTTGTGTTTGGCGCCCCGAGAAGGATGCTGTCTTAGGTCTCTTCCCACTGGACGTGTGGTGGGGCAGAGATCCCCTTAGTCCATCATACTTCCACCCCGCTGGGGTTGGGGCACTGCGAGGGAGATATCCTTGATGGACTCCCTCTACGGAGATCTCTTTTGGTACCTGGACTATAATGAGGATAGGACCTTGGACATTTCTGAGCTTCAGGAAGGCCTGGAGGACGTGTAGGGGTCATTCATTATCTAGAAGAAGCGAAGGTTGGTCTCACTGTGGCTGTGGTCAGAGAGATATTGGGGTGGGAGCCCTGGAGAGGTATTGGGCAGACAGGGCGAAATTTACATGTTCTCAAGCTTGACCCAGGCCCACTGCAGTGTTCAGGTGGTTGACCAATGTTACTGTTTATTAAAAATAGCCGGATGTGGTGGTGGGTGCATGTGGTCGCAGGAGGCTGAAGCAGGGTTGAACCAGGGAGGCAGAGGTTGCAGCAAGCTGAAATTGCGTCACTGCACTCCAGCCTGAGTGAGAGAGGGAGACTCCATCTCAAACAAAAAAAGGAAGAAAGAAAGAAAGAAGTGTTCTTCACATTTGTTTAAAGCCACTCTTATATTTAGATTTGCAAGTGTAACTTATATTTGTTTATTTGACACAAAGTAGCCTTTCATAAGAAATTCTGGGTTATGCCATCAAGTCACATCTTTTGAAACACATTTCTTTCTTATTGAAACAAAAAGGTTGTAGATCTGTCTGGCGTTTTTGGCAAGGAGGCTTTGTGTACCTAGTGATGACTGACGAGAGTTCACATGTCAAAACCCAAGGGAGGCGCATCCCCAGAGAATTCTGCACCAATCACACAAAACATTGTATTTCAGAGGAGCACTGTTGGGACTTCTCCTCAGGTGGCAGTCACATCTCTAGGAAGTTTTGATAGGAGTCCTTTCTCACATGTCTCTACCTTCCCTAGTAGGAAAATTTGTTTATATAAACAGAACTCAACTGATAAAAAAACAGTAAAGAAATGGTACTTACATTGTCATGTTAAGATACAAAAGAGATAACTTTTTGTTGTGATAACTGTATGTTTTTTGAACAATATTTTGTTTTTTTCCTGTGAAAGTTGAGAAGCCAAATATATAGATCATGGTCAGACCATACATAAAAATGAAACTTTGACTCAAAATTTAGAGCAGTCTGCCCAGAAAACCAGCCCTTTATCTAAAATAAAGAGACTAGGAAACCAGCCTGTTATGTCAGACTTGCAAGAAGTCAGGTTGCTGTCTCTAGAGATAATACACAAAGCTATGCATTAACTGCTCTAACAGTCAGCCCCAAATGATCAGGATTTGATCAATAACCAACAGACCCCTAATGTTTTTCTTCACTTCCAACTTAGGATGAACCAGAGAAAGCTAAATAAGCTAGTCAAATAGGATGCCCTGCTTCTAGTGAGCCCGCCTACAGCTTCCCCAGGCCAGCAGCCTCCAATCAGGAAGTGCTTGAAGCCTTCCCTTTTTCCCACTGTAAAGCTTTCCCACTCCTCTGCCTGCTTTTGAGTCTCTGTCAAAAAGCAAGTGAGGGTGGCTGACTCCCTTGTTATAGCAAGCTTGGGCCAAGTGGCTTTTGCTTTTCTCATTTGGTTGGTCTTTTATTTCTACAAGTAACAGATAGGAAGATTTAAAGGGGAATCCATCCCTAGTCTTTCATATTATAGTAGTCCCGTTTTTATGTACTGGGGATGTTTCAAGACCTCCACTGAATACCTGAAACTGTGGGTAATATTGAACCCTATATATACTCCCTCTCTTCCTGTATGTTCACACACACACACACACTTTTTTTTTTTTTACTTTAATTAGCTTTAGCTCTTGTTTTTTTTTTTTTTTTTAAAGATGCAGTCTTGCTCTGTCTCCCAGGCTGGAGTGCAGGGGTGTAATCTTGGCTCACTGCCTCCCAGGTTTAAGTAATTCTTGTGTCTCAGGCTCCTGAGAATCTGGGACTACAGGCATGTGCCACCACACCTGGCTAACTTTTTAAATTTTAGTAGAAATGGGGTTTCACCATATTGGCTAGACTGGTCTTGAACTTTTGACCTCAAGTGATCCGCCTGCCTCAACCTCCCAAAGTCCTGGGATTACAGGTGTGAGTCACTGTGCCCGGCCATGTACTATATATTTTTGATCTGATAAATGGTTTGGCTACTAAGTGACTAACAAGTAGCATCTTTTTTTTTTGGGGGGGACGGAGTTTCACTCTTGTTACCCAGGCTGGAGTGCAATGGCGCGATCTTGGCTCACTGCAACCTCCGCTTCCTGGGTTCAGGCAATTCTCCTGCCTCAGCCTCCTGAGTAGCTGGGATTACAGGCACACACCACCATGCCCAGCTAATTTTTTTTGTATTTTTAGTAGAGACGGGGTTTCACCATGTTGACCAGGATGGTCTTGATTTCTTGACCTTGTGATCCACCTGCCTTGGCCTCCCAAATCTATATCGTGGATATGCTGGACAAAAGAACATTTACCTCCTGGGCACAATGGCACAGGATGATGTGAGGTTCATCATGCTACTCAGAATGGTGTGCAATTTAAGTTGTTTCTGTATCAGCCCACATTGGCAATAACTTCTCTCTAATGTTTTTTGTATTTTATAGAAAATTTTTACTACTGGAGATGTCAACAAAGATGGGAAGCTGGATTTTGAAGAATTTATGAAGTACCTTAAAGACCATGAGAAGAAAATGAAATTGGCATTTAAGAGTTTGGACAAAAATAATGATGGTGTGTCTTTCTTTTGTATTTATCACCAGCTATGAAGAAGCATTTCTCATGCTTCCAACAGTCTAAAGGATGTTTATATAATGTCTCTGGGTTTAGATGATAATTATTATTTGTGTTAATACTTATTTTTCTTAGTAATGTGATTTTTATATAGAGTTCATATTATTTAGTGAAGAAAACTTATAGATAGCTTTTCTTTTTCATTACTTTCAAATGTAATGAATTACATTGCTGAATTAAAAACTGTGGGCAGGACCTGTTGTAAATTTTAACTGTGGAACATTATGCTGATTTGACTTAAACCTGTAGGTTAAAAATAATAATTATATTTTCTTGCCCTCTAGTTAAGAGAGATTTATTTTTATTTGTAGACAGGAATGACAATTGTATATTCTCAAATTTTAAAAAAACTTTCAGATTATCTTGCATTTGATAGTATTTTTGAAAGAATTAATTTAGAGAAGATACTTTCTGATCCTGGAAATTAGGGAAAAAATAGCATTTAAACATTTAAGTATGTGCCTTCTAGTTGTGATTATGACTTATCTATTTCAATTAATAGATTGGAGTTTGTCTTAATATGTTTTCAGTTGCTATAATAGCACACACTGGGTAATTTATGAAGAAATGAAATTTATTTCTTACAGTTCTGGAGGCTGGGAAGTTCAAAGTTGAAGGGCTGAATCTGGTGAGGGCCTCTTACTGTGTCAGTGTGCTACCTCAGATCTCTCTTCCTCTTCTTATAAAGCCACTAGTCCCATCATGGGGGCCCTGCTCTGAAGACCTTATCTAATTCTAATTAGAAATAGAGTCTTGAAGCCCTCATCACCAGAGGCAACCTTTAACAGGAAGAGAGAATTTATAAAATTACAATGCAGCCCCAAACTCCTCCCTACTTGTAAAGAGTCAGGGTCATTTTATTTACAGACTTATTGTTAATGAAACAGGTTAAACAAATAGATTGAGAGGAAATGTGGTTCATATCTGAGGTCAGCAAACTTTTTTGTCCAGAAGTCCAGATAATAAATATTTTAGCTTTGTGGGTCATGTGGTCTCGGTTGTAGCTCAATCTCTGCTGTGGTACCTCAAAAGCAGCCATGGACAATATGTAAATGAATGGGTATGGCTGATTTCCAATATAACTATATTTACAAAAATAGTTAATAGACTGTATTTGGCTTGAGGGTTATAGTTTGCCATCCCCTGATTTACACTGAAAATTAAAGTTAAATTCAAAGCAGTTTCCCTCAAACAAACAACTCTGTAAATGGTTTTGATGATTGTTCAAGTCCATGACTCTCATCCAGAAAGAAGGTCCTTTCTCCAAGAAAGTCTGTCCTTTCAGCACTGATAGTAATTTTTGAGTTTGGGTTGGAAAGCAGTACTATTGGAATATTTGTCACCCTCAGTAAGTCTTACAATATATGCCCCCAAGTCTACCCTTAGTCCAGTCTTCTAGCAAAATTCAGCTTTCCTTCTTCCCTGCAAACTTTGGTTCCAACATGGACCCTCTGCAGTTCAGTTGCAGATCAGATTATCTGTGTGCTGTTATGGCAGGCAGTAGCTGAGAGATGTAGCTACCTCAAGATCAGTTGCCAGATAATCAGAGGTCGATCATCCCAGTATATAAGTTGTGTACACATCAGCTGTTCATTTCATAAAACTCTAAATGATCCAGAGGAAATAATTAAAGATTAAATTTTAATGGTATGTTTGTAGCAAATCTATACAGTGTTCCCTTAATTTACCATGTTTGTTTATTTTAAAACAATGTGGTATTAGAGGTTTATATTTTTATTTTTCAGACTTCCTTAATGTAAAACATATACAGTTGATCTTCATTATTTGGGGATTCTGTATTTCCAAATTTGCCTACTCACTAAAATTTATCCCAAAAGTAACCCCAAAATATATATTCACAGTACTTTCCCAGGCATTCATGGAGAGGCACAGAGCCGTGAAAAACTTGAGTTGCTGAGCATCCATATTCCTAGCTAGTAGAATAAAGCAATATTCTGCCTTCTTGTTTCAGCTCTCATACTATTAACCAATAACTGTCCTTTTCAAGGTGTATTTTGTGCCAGTTTTTGCATTTTTGTATTTTTATTGGTAATTTGCTTTTTAAAATGTTCTCTAAATGTAGTGCTGAAGTGCTGACTAGTGTCCCTAAGTGCAAGAAAGCCATGGTAAGCCTTCTGGAGAAAACAGATGCATCAGATAAGCTTTGCCCCAAGTTCAGTGTTAGTGAATCAATAACATACTTTAAATGAGGTGCCTTCAAACAGAAACAGACAGAAGAAAAGGTTATGTATTGATCAACTGATGAAAGTGTTGTGAGCAGAAGCTCACAGGAACCTAACCCTGTATGTCCTGAAGGAACAATGGTTCGGTGTTTGCTAATTCAGTGTTTGCAATGAATATAGAACTTTATAGAACATGATTACTGTAAATAATGAGAATTGACCATATCTTTTTAAGAGTACAGTTCTAAAGGAGAATATTCAGAATGATATTTGCATAATTTCATTGCTAACAGATCCTGGCTCTCACTGTCCTTACATGATCCAGATTCTCATGCTGCTCCTTCCTTCTCTTCAGGAGGATTCTCTCAGAATCCTGTCTTCTCTCCAAGGTCCTTTCTCTAAGAAAGTTTGTCCTTTCACCAGTGACAGTAATTTCTGTCGTCTTCTTTTTCTGGAGACGTCTGCTGCTCATGCTGCCTCAGCACCAGACCCTCTCTTACTTTGTTTTGTTTTATTCTGCTTCATGTGAAGTAGTTTTAGGATTCTCATGAGCTTGTGAGCTGCTGGAATAAAATACAGAAGTACTTACATTTATTGCTTCCATTTTATTCTCTCTTTTCTCTTTCTTCCTCTGTTCTGATTGTTCTCCTGTGTACAAACATGCTCTAATTTCCCTAACACTAAAAATTTTCTGTCTTTTATTGTTCTTTGATCCTTGCTCCCTGTATTTTTACTGCCAGATTGTTAAAAGAATAGTTTATTTCCTCATTTTCTACTTCTCCATCATATAATATGATGTTTTGCATAATAAAATGTTTAGTAATTTATTAAAAATGTAGAATTAGATACTTTTAAAATGCATAGATCCTAGTTTAGTTGAGTTTATCTCAGTTAGAATATCTTGATTTGGATCTTAGTTCTGCTACTTCTTAATTACATTACTTGGTAAGGCCACTTGAGAAGTTGGTCTCTTTAGAAGAATATCATTTATCTCTAGGGCTGTTGTAATTACTGAATTTTTAACAATGTGTGTTTATTTATTTAATGCATTTGTTAAATTTTGAATATTGATGTTGGGATAGGCATTTAAGCAAATCTACAACTCCCCTAAGTGCATAATTTTGCCCTAATCAGTGTAAAGCTTTGTATTAAATGAGAGATTTGAAATTCATTATTTCCGTGGTTCTTGTCAGTTCTGAGTTGTAATTTTTGCCCATTTTATTTCTTTAAAGGAAAAATCGAGGCTTCAGAAATTGTCCAGTCTCTCCAGACACTGGGTCTAACTATTTCTGAAAAACAGGCGGAGTTGATTCTTCAAAGGTAAGCTCTTCATCTTGGTCAACAGTTGACTTGTTTTGCTTTAATATCCTGCATTAGAAGTCTGTGTTTCTTAGTGTGGCTTTAAAACACCTCACTAGTCTTCATTATGTATATCTAAGATCTTTCTTTTTTCCTCTGGTTCATTTTGTTTGTGTACATTTCTCTAAAGTGTAGGAATGGGAAGTGTAACCTCAGTCTGGACTCTTTCCTGTGGGGCCTCAAGGGATAGTGGAATGTCAGGAAGTAAGATTTTAACTCCATAGATAAGGAGCTAAAGAGTTTTGGTGTTACTTTTTTTTATTTGGTTTCTAATGAACAGTAAAATTCATTGATTCAAACTAAGAAGCCTAGCAGATTCATCACATTATTTAATCTACATGTGACTGGAAAAACAGGAAATCACTAAGCTCTCCTGGCTAACAAAGAAATACCTATTTTAACTTTCAGAAAAGAGATCCAAATTTTAACCTTATTGTCCGGGGCAATCAATTTGACTATTTAAGCCAAACTTTTTGAGCCTTAATGTTTATTTCACAGGACAAAGCAGTGATCTCTGCAGCTCAGGTGCTCTCAAATACTCTGTTACTACAAACACAGGGCAGGGACTGATTTTTTATGATAACATAAAACAGAAAAGGACAGTTACATTGTATTAATATTGTTGTGAATGTTTTTAGTTCTCACATTGTCTAAAAAGAATTTCTAAGTGACTTTGTTATTTATCTTGTTTTATATCTGTACCATAGCATTTTCATCCCTTCTCTCTCATCATAATTTCTTTGATAGACAGCTGCTCAGTAGGAAGGCTCAAAGTCTCAAGGCTGAGCACATAGTGACTTTTGTTAGCACTGGATGAGAAGCGCTTTCCTGACGAAATGGAACCTAAAACATGAAAAGAAGATAAACAGAATTTGGACAGTGACAGATATAGAGCATATAATATTCTGCTTCTAAAGTCAACATTCTTCTAGGAAAGTGAGGGTTTTTCCCTGGCTGTTAGGCCAGAGATCATATTATTACATTTTTCTATGACAGCTTTAAGAATTATGCAAATTCTAAGCCCAAGCTTCAGAAGTAGACTAAGAAGTATTAGCTTAGCTGCCATGACAAAATACCATAGGCTGGATGCATTAAACAACAGAAATGTATTTTCTCACATGTCTGGGAACTAGAAGTTTAAGATAAGAGTGCCAGCGTGGTTGGGTTGTGGTGAGGTCTCTCTTTCTGGCTTGCAGATGGATGCTTTCTCACTGTATTGTCAGATGGCAGAGAGAGAGAAAGACCTTTCTCTTGCTTCCTCTTATAAGAACATAGTCCTGTTGGATCAGGGTTTCATTCTTATGACTTCATTTAACTTTAAGTACCCACTAAAGGTGCTATTATCTCCAGATATAATCACATGAGAGGTTAGGGCCTTAACATTTGGATTCCGGAGGGATATAGTTCAGTCCATAGCAAAGAGTAATGAAGAGGGTCGGATATTTAAAAGTAGCTACATAATTTTTAATGTAAGTATTTTGTGGGAACTTTTTGTTTTTAATTTTGAGACAGAGTCTCACTCAGTTGCTCAGGCTGGAGTGTAATCGCGTGATCTTGGCTCACTGCAACCTCTGCCTCTCAAGTTCAAGCAATTCTCCCTCTTCAGCCTCCTGAGTAGTTGGGACTGCAGGCATGTACCACCATGCCTGGCTAATTTTTTAAATTTTAGTAGAGACAGGATTTCACCGTATTGGCCAGGCTCATCTCAAACTCCTGACATTAGGTGATCCACCCACCTCAGCCTCCCAAAATGCTAGGATTACAGGAATGAACCATGTAATTCATGCCAGGCCAGCAGCTTTATTGAGATGTAATTCACATACCGTAAATTCACTTTTCTAAAGTGTACAATTCAGTGATTTAAAACATTTATTTTTAAATTTACAGAATTATATGTATCATGTACAACATGATGTTTCAAAGTATATATACATTGTGGAATGACTAAGTCTAGCTAATTTACATGATACATCTCATAGTTATGATCTCTGTGGTGAGAATACTTTACATCTATTCTCTTAGTATTTTTCAAGAATATATTTTTAATTGTGGTCATCATGTTGTACAGTGGAGCTCTTGAACTTCCTCCTCCTGCCGAGCTGGAAATTTGTGTCCTTTGGCCAGTATCTCCCCAAACCATACCCCGCCCCCAAACTATTCTGCTCTCTGATTTTATGAGATCAACTTTTTTAGATTCCGCATATGAGTGAGATCATGCAGTATTTGTCTTTACCTGGCTTATTTCATTCATGTTGTTGCAAATAACAGGATTTCCTTCTTTTTCATGGCTGAATAGTTTTCTATTGTGTATGTATAGCACATTTTCTCTATTCATGCATTGGTGGACACTTAGGTTGAGTCCGTATCTTGGCTATTGTGAATAGTGCTATAATGAACATGGGAATGCACAAGCCTCTTTGACATACCGATTTCATTTTATATATGTATATATATGTATACACACACACACACACATCCAGTGGTGAGATTGCAGGATCATATGGTAGTTCTATATTTAATTTTTTAAGGAACTCCATACTGCTTTCAATAATGACTGTATTAATTTACATCCTCACCTACAAGGTGCAAAGTTTCCCTTTCCTCTACATACTTGCCAACACTTATCTTTTGTCTCTTTGATAATAGTCGTTCTAAGTGTGGTATGAGGCGATATCTCATTGTGGTTTTTATTTGCATTTCTGTGGCAATTAGTGATATTGAGCATTTTTTCATGTACTTTTTAGCCATTTGCATGTCTTTGAAAAATGTGTATTCAGATTTTTTCTCATTTTTACTTAGGTTGTTTTCTTGCTATTGAGTTGTTTGAGTTCCTTAGTTTGGATATCAACCCTTTATCAGATGTATGGTTTGCAGATACTACCCCCCATCCTGTAGGGGTCTCTTCACTGTATTGATTGTTTCCTTGGCTGTGCAGGATATTTGCAGTTTGATGTAGTCTTACCTATATACTATTGTGTTCGTTGCCTGTGCTTTTGGTGTCATATCAAAAAAAACCATTGCCAAGTCTAATGGTATGGAGCTTTCCTCCTATGTTTTCTTCTAGTAGTTTCATAGTTTGGTGTCCCGACCCGCGGGACAAGCAAAGGAGACCCTAGGGAGGGAGTGGGGATTAAAAGAGAGAGACAGGAGACGCGTGGAGACAAGTCAAGGATCTGATCAAGTCTCCTTTATTAGCTACAAGGCGGTTGCTTATAAACAAGTAAAGGGGGGAAGTTCTGAGGGCTGAGGTCAGAGAGTAACCATGGAGATGAGGCTGCAGGCTAGCCTCCTAACTAGGAGGAATGTGAAACTTAAACAATAAGGGAAGCCCACAAGATGGAGGTTTAGGTAAGAGGAACAAAAACTTAAGCAACATAGTTACAAGATGGCTACTGCTCCCCACAGTTTGGGGTCCCCATTTACTTCTTTAATCCATTTTGAATTGATGTCTGTATACTGTGTAAGTTAAGGGCCTAATTTCATTCTTCTGCATTTGGATATCTAGTTTTCCCAACACCATTTATTCAAAAGACTGTTTCCTATTGTGTATTCTTGGTAACTTTGTCAAAAATCAGTTGCTTGTAAGTGTGTGGATTTATTTCTGGGCTGTGTATTCTGCTCCGTTGGTCTGTGTGTCTGTTTTTACTCCAGTCAAAGCAGTGCCCTCAGGGCAGATGCACCAAGCATAATTCCAGTTTATTATGAGGTGTTTGGTTAGTAAAAGTTTTTCAGCACTTAAAGGTCTAACTTTCCCATAGGGGGAAATTTTTATGCCAGCTCTTTCTTTTTAATCTTTATCTTAAGCCCAAACCTCATCAATCATACTTTTTATGCTACTTTAGCTTTGTAGTATATTTTGAGGTTAGGTAGTATGATGCCTCCAGCTTTATTCTTTTTGCTCAAGGTTGCTTTAGCTATTCGGAATCTTCTGTGTTTCCATGTGAATTTTAGGATTGTTTTTCTATTACTGTGAAGCATATCATTGGTATTTTGAATAGCAGTTGTATTGAATCTGTAGTTTGCTTTGGATAGTATGGTCATTTTAACAATATTAATTCTTCCAGTCCAGGAACACAGGATATCTTTTTATTTATTTGTTTCTTCAGTTTCTTTCATCAATGTTTTACTGGTTTTCTTATAGAAGTCTTTCATTTCTTTGGTTAAATTTATTCCTAAGTATTTAATTTTTTTGTAGCTACTATAAATGGAATTGTTTTCTTCTTGCTTTCTTTTCAGATAGATCACTATTAGTGTTTAGAAATACCACCGATTTTTCTTTTTTTCATTTCTTTTTTTTTGATAGATCGGGTCTCATTATGTTTTCCAGGCCTTGAACACCTGAGCTCAGGTGATCCTCCTGCCTCAGTGACTGAGTGACTGAGACTGCAGGCATAACATTTTGCTTTTGTTGGCATTTAATTGTTCATAAGTGTCTTATGATCTTATGTATTCATGTCATATCAGTTGTAATGTCTCCTGTTTCATTTCTGATTTTGTATTCTCCCTTCTTAGGCTAGCCAAAGGTTTGTCAATTTTATTTAACTTTCCAAAATCCAACTCTCAATTTTATTGCTTTTTCCTATTTTTGTCTTTATTTTATTTACCTTTGTTCTGATTTTTATTATTTTCTTCCTTCTATTATACTAACTTTGGGCACAGTTTGTTCTTGTCTTTGTAATTCCTTTAGGTATAATGTTAGATTGTTTATTTGAGGTTTTTTGTTTTTAGGTAAGTATTTACTGCCATAAACTTTGCTCTTAAAACTGCTTTTGCTGTGTTCCATGGGTTTTGATATGCTACGGTTCCATTTTTTTTCATCTCAGGAAATTTCTGAATTTCCCTTTCAGTTTCTTCATTGACCCACTGATGATTCAGGAGCATGTTGTTTAATTTCCATGTATTTGTGAATTTGCTGAAGTACGTCTGATACTGATTTCTAGTTTTAGATTATTGTGGTCAGA